AGGGAGCTGGGGCAGGGGTGTGTGGGGAGGGTTGCCTGCAGCAAGTAAGAGGGGGCGGGGGGCGGCACGCAGGGGAACTCCCTGCCCCAGCTCACCTTTGCTCCGCCTCCTCCCCTGAGCACGCCGCCCCACTTTGCTTCTCTCCCTCCCAGGCGCCAAACAGCTAATTAGCGCCGCAAGCCTGGGAGGCGGGAGAAGTGGAGCGACGACAGCGTGCTCGGGGAGGAGGCGGAGCAGAGGTGAGCTGGGGCGGGGAGCTGCCGCTCGGCTCCCCGGGCTGGGGGAGCTGCCGTGGGGGTGGGGGGCCTTAGGGCGGGGCGGAGAGCTGCCACAGGGCTCAGGGAGGGGGGGCGCAAGGTGGAAGTTTCGCCTAGGGCGCGAAACATCCTTGCACCCGCCCTGCCACCATTCAATAAACTTTAGATTTCCAGGCTTGACTGACTCTTCGTTTGGTCATCTCAGATCTTTTGTTCTTTGTGTACTGGAGGTCAAGTTAGAGATGTGGAGAGGGACGAAAGGGGGAAGGATAGGGTAAACTGGCAGAGACTAACTGGAAAAGCCATAATTTAATAACCTCACTGCATGGCATTTGTCTCCTTAGATGCAGCAACGATGCTTTTCCAGCATTTGCAAAGGCACTTATTTTTTCCATCCCACACTTTTCATTAACCATAATTAAAGGCTAGCATGCCACAAGAACTATCCAGTGCAGAGCTGTGTGTGGCTGGGATGGAGGAAAACCACAATGTCTGTCTTTTCCTTTATAGAACCCACCACTCAACTAGTAATAGAGCAAGTGATCGAAAGCTGGCAATAACGTCTGTTACCATAAACAAGTGGTCTACAAATACATGGATAGACCAAAAGGAAGCTTTAATATGCTGAAATTTAAAAAAAAAGTCATTTACCTACTTTTATATACAGACACAAAGCAACTCAATCCATTTTAAGGTGGTACAATGTCAGAGGGGAACAAGAAATAAAACTAAAACGGAATACGGAAAATATTTATCTGCAAGTGTCAACAGACACTAATCTCAGTGTTGTATTCCGTACAAAGGTACTATCATATTGGTTTATCATTTTTCCTGCCCCCTAAAAATCTACCCAACCTTAGTTCCTACTCAAAATACACTCTAGATTGAAAAAAAAAATTCAGATGTCATGATGCAAACTAGGCAAAATGAGCTGCTGAATAGGGAATAAAAAATTGCAGTTTATGCCAGTCTAGCTATTAAAGGCATTGCAGAACTGAAAATATGCCATTTAAGTTTTAAAACAGAGAACCAAAGCTGCCTCAATAAAAATGTTACAGACCCACAAAATCCTGTGACTAGGAAAGCTTCCAGAAAGTATTCTTGGATGAATGCCTTTGTAAATGGTTCAGTTTGATGGTACACTCACTTTGTATTCGATGTACAGCAAATAAGCAGACACGCACAGACTCACAAAACTGTCTTGAGTCATTGCAATCATCCACACTGTCACGGTAAGTGACATGAATGGTAGAAGAGGAAGGATACACAAAACTCACATTCCCTATAAAACAGGATTTTCCAGCGCCTGCTCCTTTTTTCTGATGAGATGTAACGATTACTATGATTATTAAAGAATCCAGGACACTCCAGGAATGACTGGGTAATGACATTCCACCTTTCTGAAGTCTTATGTCAATTAAACTGGAGATGGCAGTACTCTCTATTTCCAGTTTCTAACTCACTCTCCTAATTAGGAAAACCCTTAATAGCCAAGCATGTGATTTTGCATTTTGTGTAAAATAAATGTTAACCCTCGCTTCAAAATATGCACACAGTGGGACTGGTGATCATATATATGCACTTATATTAGTTTCCTTAAAGCTTTTTAAGGTATTACTGTATTAACAGTATATACTGCAAGCTGGCACTATGAACGGATGTCAAGTGGTGTACGATTTTCACAAGTCTTTAAATAATGTCTGCCATGTCAAAGAGAATCCCAATGTACACCAGCTAAAACTGGGGTTAGGTCACTAAAGGTGAACAACATGTGGCATTCTTGTACAGGGCAAGATAAAAAGTTTCAGAACGGCGAAAGAAAAAAACTGAGTAGTGTGTGGTCTGACAAAAGTCTTTTGGTTTCATTTCCTCACATAAGATTGTCACGGTAATCCAAGGAGCTCCTGCATTTATTACTGGTGGTCCATCAGCACTGTTATAAAGACATATAGAAGAAACTACTTCATTTTCCTTACTCTGTCAGAAAAAATAAAAATTTTGCAGTGGTTGTGGGTCACAGTTCTAATTTGAGTGATGTTGCTGTTTGCTGTACTGCAGAGGGCTTTTAATTGCTGTCATAACTCCAGAAAGACCAGATTTTATTTTTCCCCCCAATGAATTTATTGCCATGTAAACTTTTCCTCCACACACATTATTATTTAATCAAGCCTTAGTGGGACTTTTTGCTTATGATTTTAAAGCCAAGAAAATCTTTTTACTGAAACCCACAGACATTCTAAGTAAAAACCACCTCATTCACAAAGAACTTAAGCAGCAGTTTTGAAGCAAGTGCATGTGGCAAAGTTTTTTTTCCTGTGCTTTGAAGTACTGCTGATCTATTTAGTTTCTAGCCAAAGGAAAACTGCTAAACTCATCAGATTTTTTCTGAACTAGGTTATGATATTTTGAGAGTTGCTAGTATTTGTTCCTGCTGTGTGGTATCACCCCAACTCCAATCAAAGTGAAAACCAAAATCAACTTTGAATTGTGTAATATTATAGTTTTGAACATGCCAATACTTGTCCATCACCGGTCATATCAACTGTTTGTTTTTTCTTTTTTATGCATCAAGGAATACTCCATCCTGTTGATTTCCAAATATTAGCATACTGGAGTAATAGGAAGTAGCAGCAAATTTCAGGTGAGCAATACGCACATCTTACTCACATCAGCAGTGGCATTCAGCAATTACATGCAGACCTGACAGAAGTTAAAAGATACCCTCTAGTGGCATGAAGAATACATACACCCATATGAACTGGTAAGAGTTTGCTGAAAATTAAGAACGTGAAACTTATTCGAACACATCGAAAAGCAGAAGCACCGTGGTTACCCTTAAAAGCCAGTATTTGCCAATAGTTATCACACACAGGTATCTGAGATCCCCAGTTTCTCCCTTTATTTAAAAAAGGAGATATCTTTGGTAACAGTATTGTAATGGTTGGCAAATGTAAGATTTTTAATGGCTACTACTGCATATATGTAATTGTTTTAAAATGTAATTAGTGTTGCTCAATATTTGAAATAACATTGCAGGTGATGATTAGGCTCTCAAAAGCCTGAGAAATTTGAGCTGCAGACGACCTCACCAGGACAATCACTGTAATTAGAATTGGGCCAGAAACACAACTATGAGTCTGAACTACCTGTCAAATCTGAGGGCAGGGTTTGGATGCAAATCCTGGGATCTAAGCCTCCCTCCTCCTCCTCCAATTTTGGTTCTAGGCTGATCCAAAATTTAGAGTGGGTAGATTTCCCATTCAGATGCAGCTGAAATCTCATGCAAAAAGCCCAGGATGATTTAAATAAACAAGAACCCTAAGCTAACAATGCTTGCTCAAACCTGTGATCAAAATTCCATGAAACGCAGCGCCTGAGATTTTAGTGCACTGGAATCCAGACCTGAATCCTTTCCTTGATTCATGCCTCAGGTCCAAAACTCTGGCCCAAGCCTTAGGTCAGCTGTTGTTTTTAAATGTATTACTTCCTTCATTATAATAGTGCCTGAAGGCTGCAAACAAGATTGGGCCCCATTGTGCTACCTGCTGGATAAACACATTAGGAAGACACAATCTCTGCTCCAAAAGCTCACAAATAAGACACGGCTGGTGTGACAAACAAGAGGTCTAAAATATTGCCCTGGTGCTACAACTGGATCTAATCAAGCATACGCTGGCAGAGTCCCACTGTCCCAGCAAGGGCACAGGGCTCCATCCACATTGATCTGACTGCAGGATTGGGGCCTGTGGCACCAGCCACACGATTTTGGACTGTACTAACTGTGATCTATGGTTATGTCTACACTGCAGCTGGGAGAGAGCCTCTCAGCCCAGGTAGACAAACTCATGCTAATGGGACTCGAGCTGGAGTGCTAAAGAATAGCAGTGTGGATGCTGCAGCTCTGGTGGGACTTGGCTAG